GCACACCGCCGCCTCTTCCCAAGAAGAAGAACTCCAGTACGGTTATCCTGGCCAGCGATCAACACAATCGTACAGGCAGTTTGACCAGCAGCGGGGCGGAAGTAGACAGCGACGACAACGAGAGCAACATCAGCTGCGATTCCTTGAACGGTGGCGAGTTGACCGACAGAATAGCGAACGGTGGCATTAACGGGAACGAGGCTGGCAGGCCATCCTTGGAATTTTCAGAACGCTCGGAGAATTGCCGTCTGAAGAACGGGGTGGATCGTGAGAAGTACAGGGACACGGAGACCATCTTGGCGTTGAACCGGCTCGACCTGTCCACCGATCAGAACGAGGAAAATCGAACTCACGAGGAGGAATCGAGCGCGGCTACCTCGAGCCCTGAGATCGACTCGAGTTCTTGCTCGACCAGAGCCTCCCCCAGCGTGTCCCCCTCGCCGTCCGGGACTTCCTCGTTGTCGAAAGCCTCCTCCACTCCGAGGATCAGGAGTCCGGTCCTGGCCACCGAGCAGAACGGCAGGCTATCGTCCCCGGTTGTGAAGGAGTGCACTTACGAGGAGAGGAAGCAGGAGCAGGAGAGGTTGGAGCAGGAATCAGGTGACGTGGACACCAGCGTCAACCCTTTGACCGGGAAGAAATACGTGTACGAGTACGACAGGTTCTATAAGTTTCACATAAACGAGTTGAAGGGGAACAAAGACAATGGTAGGGGTGTGGTGTTAGGCGATAAGGACACCGACGAGTGTTTCGCCGGTTACAAGATTCTCGAAAAGGAAGCCATACGCAGTGCCAAGGGAACTGTGCGCGGTGTCAAAAACAGGGTTCGAGCTGGGATCGCGACGTTCCTTCAGAAACCCTCTTCTCAGGTTCGTATATTATTTAGTTATGTCCATACGCAGTTTATTTCGAAATCTAGGGAAATTTCTATTGCACGCCAATTAATGGTTGGATGAAGGAATGCTATAAGGAAAAATTTTAAATTAATGATCCTTTTATTCGTTTTTTCGTGCCCCTGGTAATTGTTTGGAGAACTTTATTTTACTCGTCGAAAGCTGGATTTTTTCATGATTAGGAAATATTTATGGTATATAATTGTTGGACGCGACTCAAAAGAGGATTCGAGAGAGGTCGAGAAGTTTGATAAGTAACTTTTGGGTCGTTGGAAAAATGGAGATGCACGGTGAAAGGCGTATTCGAAGGTCAGAGGGACAGGATGTCGAAAAATTTTGCGAGCCGTTGGTCTAGATTTCACCAAATATCAGCGGCACGTGGAATCTTTGGCTCCTCGTGACCGCGATCTGTTGCTATTCTGTCATTAATGCAGACTTTTTATAGTGATTCATGACGTTAATGCGTGCGTCACAGAGATTTTTCATTGCCAATAACGTATCCAAGAGTAAATCCCTTCAGAGATCTTGCAAACTAGCAAAAATCGTTTCAAGATTTATCCTATATCTCGATACAAGTTAAAACCCGAAACTTGATCGATTTCAAAAACTTGTTAAGAAAACGTGATCACTTGTCACAAGCACAGATGATTATCAGTCATCCTACGTATCCTTTTCAAATTCTAAAAAAATCTTTCGCAAAAACTCGTCTCTTTTGCAATTTTTCATTACAATTTTTGCCAAAATAAAAAGGATATCGTTCCGTTTCCAATTCTCGGTGTCAAAAACGGCGTCAAAAGGTATCGAAACGTGAAAGGATGTGACGTGCCTTAAATATCGACTCGAAATGGTCGAGGCCAACTGACAGCCTCTCCTAAACGACGCGACGATTTGTTATGCAAATCAGCCTCCGACACCACACCATGTTTCAACACTGTCCAATTGAACGGTATCGAATGGGCCAAGCTCTCGAACCCCATCGTCTATCCCCTCTATCTATTTACGTCTTTCGAGCGATATATCGGATTGGAACGAGGGATCTATCGGGTATAACGCGAGTGGTCGAGCGAAAAGCGTTAGATTTACAGTTAGATCACCTCTATCGTCGACCAGTTTGGATCGACCAGTTGACTGGCATCGATCGATGACGTAGACGGCGTCCCATGTGGTCCTGATGCAAGGTTTCCGGTGTTGCCATGCGAGCCGCGTGCATAGAACGTCGAGAAACGTATATATACGTCGATGCAGAACGGATCGACATAACGGTAGATCCGATAAAGCGATATTACGGCAACGTGCGCGAGGATCGTGCTCGTTGTCCCTAGTTGTAAACCGGTATTCCTCCTCTTTTTCCTCCATCTCTCTCTCTCTCTTCTTTTCGTCTTTCACGATCTTCTCCACTATCCAAGGGGCTCCAAGTTGAAATATTTTGTTTGTTGCACAGATCTTATTTATTGTTCTTGCGTTTGATTCGATATTTGGCTGTTTGTTCTCACTTGGTCGTGAGAAATTTTGGGGGGAAGTTAGGGAAAGGAGAATTGAATTACCTCGGTCGATTGGGAATTTCTTTTGGGATTTCGCATTCGATCGAATTTTCTTTGAGAATGTATTCGTTGTTGATTCATTGGTTCATTGTAAATGAGTTTGTTTTTGAAAAAATTTTCTTATTGTTCTTGTTTTTCTAATGATAACAACGTAAAACGAGATATAGTTTAAATAGAAAATAGTTAATTTGAACAGGATATTGGCAAGGAAGGATTAATGATTTTTGCGGATGAATAATTTATCGATTCGAAATGGAAATGTTCTAAGATGTATTATGGTCACTGTATCGAGAAAAGAAATATTTATAATCTTCCAAGAAGTACAAAAAATATAGAATCGAGCAATGTTATATAGATTTCTCTGTTTATAGCAACAATAACGACACGTGTTCTTCGTTTATTACAAACACGATGTTGTAAATATCATTGCAAATAATACGTATGTTTGCATTTTACCAGAAATGGTACGATCGAAATCGATGATCTTACGATTTTGTTCTACGATTGGCTCTCGTTAAAATGCACAAATCTGTGCCGATCGTATAAAGATTACACATAAATGTAAGGTATTTATTGAATCGGTTCGAGTTCTATACGAGCAGGATGGAAACAATTGGACGTAAAGTCGGTTGGGAATATTCAATGGTGGCCGATGTTCTACTTTCCGCCGCGAGAGTTTATTTACAATCGTGCATGAGCTAATTTACGCGATCGACTTTTGTACGTAGATCGAATAAATATACAAAGATGTATATATATTTTATGTGATTTCGAATAAGCATAAGATATACGATAGAAAGTTAAATTAATTAGGAAAGAAAATTAAGAATGGAGGATACACGAGGATGATCGGGTTGATTGATAATAAAGTGGAATAATTATTAGAAATAACGTAATAACGGGGATAAAATGGAATAATTAATAGAACTAATTCCGGTATAACGCTCTACAGTGCTACCTTCGTTCATTGTCCTTTTCCAAGAAGCATTAGAAACCACAGAAACCTCATTTTTGCGTGTAACTGTTACTCCTATTACGTAGTTTCTTAATACTTTTATATTATATCACTCATCTTACGTAATAAGTCTGATAACTATAATAACCCAAGGTTACAGATATTCCATCAAATTATAAAGTGGAAAAAAGAGGAGAAATATATTGGATATCATTTTGTGATTAATTTAAGATTGTCCTAATAGAAAAAAAAGAAGAACATTTGCAACAAAAGAATAAAATTTTGAAAGATATCGAATTGTCAAATCGAAGATTCAACTTGAACATACTCGTTTACAAAAATTTTATTTAGTAAAATTTAGAAAAAACAATGATTTCAATATATACCAATAATAATTTATTCAATTACAAATTTTATGTCACTTTTCTATCGAGGGCGAGATATTGTATATTAAATTTTACACATTTTTCTCCAACAACATGGAAACGCTTAAACCCTTAATGCAAGAGAGAGCCTGCCACAGTGTGACAATGTTTGTTGTCAGTAAAGCAGCGTAATGGCCGCGTTTCGCAATGCGTTTCTTAAAGCCTCCTCGCAACAGGTACATTTACGGGAGTCATTTACTTAACGACAATTTTGCTTGGTTTCTTAACGCGTTTCATTAGAGAGGGGAAAAGAAAAATCGAAAAAAAGGAATACACCAAGTTACGGTCAATATTCCATGGCACGACAACTACAGAAACCACCCGGAATTCTCTTCTCCCTTCTTCTTCCCAAGAAGAGAAGATTATTCGTCGTAAGGTAATCTGCGTGATGGTGTCGTAACTGTGCCGCTTTTCTTGCCGCGCAAAAATGAGATCGTCGGGTATGCAATTCGTTTCATCAGCTGGCACACGCGAATCCGTGTCGCGGTTACGTCTGGAAACGTCTTACAACCTCTTGATTTGCTCCATTATGAATGAATCACGTGTGGCGAGGTATATTAATTACGCAGGTGGATAATTGGTGATATCTCCTGATGCCTGATGTTCTAAGACTGTTGAATGTCTTTATTATCGAATCGTTCCACCTTGATTTATGCGATCCTATGTGTTTGAAATATTTATTCCTCTTTGATTGCGACGTTTGGGTATAATTTAAACCTTGGATTGGTTTCATTAGTCTGTTTCACTTGTCTCCTGTTTTTGTTTGCAACGTGGGATTTTTTTTTTTCGTGCTATTGACGATCTCTCTGATTACTGTCCTTGGAGTTTATTATATATATGGAATTGAAAAAAAGGAGAAGGATTCTTTTTTTTAGTGGGAAAATTTTAATAGAACATGTTTAATCTTTAAAGAGGATTAGAGCTTTGTGCTCTTATGCTTTGTGTCAAATATTTGTTTTCACGCTTGGAAATGATTCTATTAAATAAAAATTAGATGAAATTGTTGAATCCTTTGAGGAATGTGTTAAGTTTTTTTTTTTTTTATCAAAGTGTAATGTAAGAGAAAAATATTAAAGAGAAAAATAAATATCCAGGATGTTTTTTAATGATTGAATAAATTTTCTTTCTCTTTATTAATCTTATTCTAGACAAAATCTCTTGTAACATTCTTATATTACGTTACACGATGTTCCTTTTATGGCCTGTTATTCTCTATGAATTTACCATGACCTTTCAATTATATCATATCGTATTCTATATTCTTCAATCTGAAAAAAAAGGGACGCGAACAAAGTTCCATTACCAATCAAATCAAATACACATAAATATCTCCCATATTTATTAATACATTTATTAATATTTATTAATACATATTTATTAATACATTGATCAAGAAAAAAAAAGGTTATGATCCATGATTTTTAATCCACTTTCACTTTTTAATTATCACAGTAAACGTTCTTCGTTTTCCAATATAAAAAAGAAAAAAAATATTCTTCATTTTTATCTCTAATAAAATAATTCATGCTTTCTCATACATCACACGATATTGATTCGTAACATCATCGATCTCCTCACAAATACACATCGTATCCTCCATATTTCTCGATATGAACGAAACCAAGAACGCGAGGATTCCAGCTGAAACCAGCGCATCGCCGCGATGAGAAAACGAGAGATAGGAAGTCACGTGGTTACTTCCGCGTAGTTAAACAATATGAAACTAACGTTAGATATCGCACAGTGGAATGCTGACATAACAGAAACGTAGCACAGGCGGGAAATAGGTGTCGTAATTTCCTGGTATAATACGATACGATGTTATGCATCAAGATGCATCGATGGATTTCTTCTTTTTTAATTTCTCGCCGCCTCGTTATCATTCGTTATCGATATATTATCGTTCACGTAATACGAGAAGCTGCATTCGTTATGATTCTCGCGTAATCCTCGCCTTTATGGCGAGTTTCACGCGAACTTATCGAGGTTAGAAAGTTGTCGAGTTTATTCTAGACCAGTAGGCTGCGGAATGAAAATGCGACTTTTCTAAGCCGT